TACCTTATTAACTTAAAAGCTATCTATAGGACTTCTCTAGCTTATTAAAGAATATAGTATTATTTAGTGCTTTTATTATATTTAAGATCCCCTTAGTTATAGCTAGTATATTAAGGCTAGCTTTATATACTTCCTCTACTTATAATAAGGCTTTTTTCTTTTTTAGACTTAGTTTAGATTTATAATAATCTATTAGTATCCTTTAGTTCTTATAGGTATAGTTTAAGCTATAGTTCTTAAGTTTAGTAAGTTTAGTAGTTATAGAAGTAACCTTAGGGGTAATAGCTTATTAGATTAATATTTTAAGAATTTACTAGAAGAGCTTACTCTTATAGTTAAAGGCGCCCTTAATCTTATTTTTATTTTTAAGTTTAGCTTATATTACTATATCTAAAAATAACTACTTAATATTAAGTATTTAAATATCTTCCTATCTATTAGTCTTATAATCCTCCTCTATAGTAAGTTTTAAAACTTTATCTATTCCTAATTCTAATAAGCTAGCTACTATATTAAGTATAATAGTAGTAGTTTTTAGTTTCTCTCCTCTTTAGGAATATAATAGGAGCTCTAAATCTTATTAAATATATCTAAGTTAGGGATAATATAGGGAAGAAGGGCTATAGACTAATTAGTAAAGAAACTAAAGGTATACTTTAATAGATACTAAGTAATATAGTAGTAAAAATTACTATTAATCTATCTATCTATATAGCTAAGCCTTATCTTAATATAATAAATAAAAAAGCTATTATGGATTAAGCTTTTTAAGGTTTTACTAGATAGGCTAATAAAGAAACCTATATTAAGTATATAGTAGCTATTAATATATATATCCTCTATAATAGTACTTATAAACTATAGTTCTAATATAATATCTATAAAGCCCTTAATTATAATTAAGGTTAGTATAACTCTACTTTAAAGTTTATTAAAGTTAATATAGTCTTTAGATATAATATTTACTATAGAGCTAGTATTAATAATCCCTAACTATTCCTCAGCTAAGTAGTATCTAATTTAAATAGCTACCTAAAAGTGAGGTATAATAAAGTTATATATAGTAACTATACGCCCTCTATTAGAGTAAGGTATAACTTTAGGTTAAAGTTATTAGAAGTCTTTTATAACTAAGACTTTAATATTAGTTAGTTTAAAGCTTTATAGCGTTAATATATCTACTATATTTATATTAATATAATAGCTTCCCCTAATAAGTTATAGCTCTTCTATTAATATATTAGTGCTACCTTTTATAGACCTAAGATTACTATTCTTAAGCTACTATAAGTTAGTTCTATATTCTTTATTCTATTTCCTTATAAGTTCCTTAATACTTACTTCTTAGCCTTTAATTTATATATAAGTATTAGCTAAAGCTAGGTTAGTAGTAACTATATTACTACTATATACTTAGTCTTAATATCACTCTATATATATTATTATATATTAAAACTTAAGCTATCTATATTTTAGCTAGTTATCTAAGAGAAATTATTCTAGTAGAGTAATATTACTTATCTACTTTTTACTATAAAGAGCTATAACTTAAGAGTAAGTTTCTTCTAAGTCTAAGAAGAGGGTTATTTAGTATAACTCTTTAGTCTCCTTATAGTAAGTAGGTCCTTATAGCTAAGGTTATAAAAAAACCTATATAATTATTTTGTTTTTAATTACTTCTTTAACTTAGGTACCTCTTATAAATATAGTACCTTATTAAGTTAAGATTTAGTCTATAAAGTAAACCTTCCTTACTAAGGAGTTACTATATAAAGTATATTAGAAGTTATTATTCTTTATTCTAGTAATAATATTAACCTCTATTAGTTTTTTATCTCTTATATAGTTAATATTAACTATATAGCTATATATATACTTAATATTAATATAGTTAATAGTAGTTATTAATACTTATTATTTAGCCTCTTTTTATTCTCTCTAAGCCTTATCTATTATAACTATAGTCTCTTAATAATAAATAGATAATTTTAAGCTAAGTACTCACTTTAGGTAGTACTTATTATAGAATTATTTTACTACTACTTTTAGCTAGAGGTATACCTTACTTTAGAGGATATAAGCTTAAATAGTTACTAAGTTAGGTATTAAGTTCTTCTATCCTTTATTAATAATATTATCCTAAATAATATTATAATTAGTATAAGAACTAATATACTATCTTTTTAGGTAGTATACTACTTTAGCGTTCCTTAACTTATTTATAATATTATATTTAGTTATATAGTATCTATTTATTCTATAAAAGTAGTAACTCTTAATCTTAGGTATATTATACTATATTTAGTTTATAGTAGTTAAGCTTATAAATTAGCTAGCCTCTCTTTATTATTTATAACTCCTTTATACTATAAATACTTAGTTTATATCTATAATATAACTATTCTATATTAGTTTAAGCTACTAGCTAATATTTATGCTTAGTTTCTAAATATTAGTTATAAGTGCCTTTATTTATTTCTTAGTATTTTTACTATTAAGAGATATTTAGTATATCTGCTCTTAAAAGGTAGTAACTTTATTAAATTTTGCTATTTTTAAGTTACTATATTACTACTAAATATAAGTAACTTATATAAACTAATTAATAGGTTTAATAAGATTAGTAATTAAAGGAGGAGTAGTTACCTTTATAGCTTTCTTTTTACTAATATATATATAAGAGGTCTCTCTAGCTACCTATTTAATAATTATACGTTTAATATTTAACTAAAGCTTTTAGAGTAGGTTTATAACGTTATAAGAGAGAGCTTTTATAGTAGCCTTAATAGCTTCTTTTAGTAGGCACCTATAAATAAAGTAAATAAGATCTTAGTCTTAATACCTTAGGAGTTCCTTTATAGTAGCTTTATAGTATAAGCTCTTAATATAATTAAAGAGGGCTATAATATTAATAATATCTATCTCAGAGAGGGGGGGCTTATCCTTAATCGTTTAAAACTTTTTATTAGGATCCTAATAGAAGCTTTTATCTATAATACTATATTAGTTAATAAGGGTAACTTTAGTAACTTCTTAATTATTAAGGTCTTTAATTAGCGATTTAATACCTTACCTTAAGTTTTTAAGATTATAGAGGTAAACCTTTATTAGCTTATCTTTATTAATCTAATAGGTTTTATAAAACTAAGAATTATAAGTTTTAATAAAATCTATAATATTATTACTTATAAATATAGGAGTGTTCTTATTTAGGAAGGGATTTATTATAATTAGTATAAGATATTAAAAGTATAACTCTATTAGTTACTTAATAATTCTTATTAATTAGTCTATAGAAATAAGATAAGTGTTACTAATAGGAGCTATAAGCTACTACTAAGCTTTATAAGTATTATTATTTAAAGTGTAGTAAGGATTAATATTAGGGGTTTATTTTTTACTTTTATTAGCTTTAGTATAGAGGTGAGTACTTTTAATAGTATAGTTAACCTTAATAAAGTTAATATTAGTAGTTTAGGCTTATAAACTAGAGGAGTTATTAAGTAAGTTATCTTTAGAAACTAAAGTTACTTTAGCTTAATCCTAAATATTCCTAAATACTTTAGCTTAGATATTAAATATATTAGTAGACTTACCTCTAGTAATAAGGTTATAAGGAGTTAAGATATCTTTATATAATATCTCTTTAGTAATCTTAAGTTATATTTTAGCTATAGTAGTTATTAATAATTAAGATAGTGAATATATAAGTTGTTATTTTAAGTAATTAAAGGTGTTAGTCTTTCTAATTTTAAGTATTATTATTACTTTTTCTGAAAATATAATAAAGGAAAAGGAGAAAAGAGAAAAGAGTATAACTAGGTAAGTAGGCACTATACTTCTACCCCTATTAGTTTTAAACCTAATTAGTTATATTCTTTTAGGTCTTTATAGTTATCCTTATATTCCTTCTTCTAAGTCTTTACTAATTAATCTATTAGGGGTTATATAGATTACTAATAGCTTTATAGTAGATTTATCTTATTCTTCTATAATAAAGTTATTAATTTTTAAGGACTATCTTATCTAAGTATTATAAAGCTTTATATTCTTATTAGTTTAAAAAGCCTATTAAGTAGATTTAATCTAGCCTTAATAGCTTATAATATTAAAGAGTAGTAAAAATAAAAATAAATAAAAATCTAATACTCCCTATTATATAGGCTATAATACTTTTAAGGTCTTTTTTAGGGTTTTTTTATATCTCTATATTCTAATAAATAGAGTTATACTTAGTTATTATACTTCTCTACTTATTATAAATTAAGTCTATAAATAACTACTTAACTCTTATTAATATATTATATTTCTTAGTATTATATAATTAGTAAAAATAGTTATAGTTATTATATATATTATATTAATCTATTTATTTAGTATAAGAGTAAGTTTTTCTTTAATACTTTATATAGGTATCTAAAAGAAGAAAGAATTTACCTCTAGGTACTATTAAAATAGTTATAAGTTTAGTAGTTAAGAGCTATATAATATAATAGTATATATATACCTTTAGGAGTATATAGTTATTATAACTATATAACTTTATAGTTTTAAGGTTTATAATCTTAAAAGAAAAAGGAAAGGACTTCTTATTTACTTTATAGATCTAAAATAAAAAGAATAAGATAAAAAGCTTAAAAATCTACTAAAGAATGAGTAAATTCTCCTCCTAATCTATTAGGATTAATAATAATGTCTGAGCTAACTTCTCGCCTCTTAAAGGGGGCTAGTAATCTGACCTCTAAACGCCGAAAACGCTGAAAAATCCAGTGGGCCTACTAAACCCCGTTCCAGTAGTAGGGATGAACTGTGGCTTATATATGTCACAGGCATCAACAAATGCAGTAGAAACCGATAATTGACACCAGGGCACACAGATTGAAATGATAGATTGACCAGGGCCATACAGCTAGCTATGTGGATGCAGACGATTGTAATGTCATTTATCTCTGTTGAACACTCGGCGACCAAACAGCAGCAGGTCCCCGGTGGTGTTCCTCTCACCAGCCGAAAGTTTCACAGTGAACCTCTATGCTAATTTCCGCGCTGGCAATGTGTTGAGCGGCAGTGGTCCGTACAAGGTCAGTCAGAGATTGAGGGCCACACGACGCAATGAGCACCCGCCGGCCAGGCTCGATCGCCCCCAAGGTCTCAGCAATGACCTTTGCTGCCTCGAGCTTGTCGTACTTGATGTCGCATAGACTGTCGAGGTCCTGCGAGCGCCTGTGTTTCTCAGCAGGCTCTGCTGAGACGTTGGCAGCTGTCTTTTCGTCCATGGTATCGGTAGCGCCCGGCATGGGATCCTCGGATGAGACGCTGTCAGCCCCCCTATTCACTGTTTGCTGGGGGGCAAGGACTGAGTGCTCCAGAGGGGCCGGTGCTGAGGAGTCGCTTAGAGACTCTTTCGAGCCCTCCCTGGTGACGTGCAGCATCATGTTCATTCCGGGACCATGCTGGCACAATGACTGGATGTGATCCGCAAACCAGCTCAAGTTCTCTGTTCTGACCGTTAGCGTGCTTGGCTCTGGGGATGTTAACCGAACTCAGACGAACCTCTCTTTCTAGCGGCCCAGATGAAGTCTACGTGTGTCCCTGAGTTTGACTCCAGGTGCTGGAGCAGGCTTGTCGCCAAGCCAAAGGTGAACGTGGCCCCGGTGCCACCTGCGATCAGAATCACCTTATCAAAGTTCTTAGGGTCTGGAATGGCTCCGTAGGGGCCGTCCACTGATGCCCACACCGACGTTCCAATCTCGCGGTGGGCGCGGTCGTGGACGGCTTTGGTGAAGCCGTTGTAAGAATTCAGGATCAACTCCAAACCGCCGGCCTTCGTGTTGGACACAATCGTGAAGGGATGAGTCTGGAATGCTCGGATGCTCGGGATCCACACGAAGCAGTGCGATCCAGAGACAGCCCCAGCCAGCGGCTTCTTGATCACCATTCGCACACCGTTGTCGGGCAGCTGGTAGATGATGGCGCTGTTGTTGACCATGTTGTACAGCATCCTCGACCCCCTAATGAGACGATCAAGCGCCCAGATTGCTCCGGCAAAGAGCATTGCCACAGGGATCTTCCAGATCCAGTAGGGCCTGTGGAGGGCTGTGAAAATGATGGCTAGGAGGAATCCCAGGAGGTGGCTGATGTAGAACGCCTCGTAGCCCAGGTTCCTAGCCATGCCAAGAAGTAACACAATCATGGCCACGCCGGCCGCAATGCCCTCCCAGTTCTGGTCCTCCAGCAACGTGCTCCAGCGGTTCTGGTTGCCATAGTATATCATGTAGAAAATACCATGGAGTACTAGCTGGAGAATTGCGGCATACCCAGCGAGTCGGTGGAAATAGTTCAGGCGCTCGTAGGAGTGGCCGGACAGGATCCCCAACGGAGTGTTCTTCAGCCCGAAAAACACGCACAGGGCCATGTTGGCGGTCGACATCCTGTACCCATTCAGTCAGCTTGCATTATCTGACGCCACCATAAAATGGAAAATTGACCATCCAAATCGTGCAGCGAAGTTGCTGGTCTTGGCCCTATCCACGTGGTGAAAGCACATGACGATATTGACGCCGACGAAGGCGATCGCCAAGAACGCATGGCCGCCCGACGGAAACCCGGGAACCTTTCGGATTAGCAAGCTCCGGATTTGCCTATTGGGTGTCAACTTCCTAATACAACAGCCATCATCTCTCACGTGAGTCTCACCGAGATGCTTTGACGACAATAGACACACCAGACAAGCGTTGCCATGCTTTAGGTGAGGACGTAAGTTTCCTGTTGATCGACCTAATCCAGTGATAAAGAATGAAGACGGCAATGACCACACAGAGAACGGCAGCATAGACCTTCAAATTCCATTCGTTCATGAGCTGGCGCGCATTGGGCGGCTTCGGCTTTTTGGCTGCCCGTGCCTCAATCATGTTGAATGGTGTAAGTGTTGCTAGAGTCCGTGCAGTGACGATTGTTTCAACACCAACAAGAAGAGCCTCGGCAGAGACAAAGGGGGAAATGCTCAAATAATCGAAATGTCACCTATGCTATAATAGCCAATGTCCGTGTCTTTAACACAAATGCAAAGTTTTTCACTGCCCAAATATTGGCCTGCGAAACACAACGTCAACTGAGGGTGGGGGTGGAAGCCACCCGTAGCGTCACGCTTCCGAGAAGCATCGTGAATGTATCAAACTCAGCCAGGGATACTTCACCTCGTGCATCCCGCCGGCTGCGGTCGATTTCCGCCGCTTGAAGAAAATACCTCATGTAAAATGCAGGCGAGATCCGGTTGAGAGCTGAGAGTTCAACGATTGCAACGTAGGTAATGGAGTTGTGATGATCCTGATTGGATCTAATCTGATCCCGAGATAAAAATTTAGAGGCTGGACCATCACAAGTTATGGACTGCCTCGTTCGGACGAAATTTTGATTCCACATCTCCACTCAAGACACAAAGTCACTCTACGTTTGAGAGACATGTTCGCCAGAATACCCACGAGGCCAGGATGTAATCAGTTGGTTGATGAGACAAAACTTCACTACTTCCAACAAGAAAACAAGGATGTAGTGGAGATATCTAAAGGATTATCCGGTAATCATCGCACTATGGCTTCACTTCAAATCCTTCAAGCAGCGAGTTTTACACAAGGACCTAGGCAAGAGGGCGTGGACATATCAGCAGCGATATCGCTGCAACTCTATGGGCATTTGGCATTGTCGAAGGTCGGAGAAAAACCGAGCTCCCAGTTTTGACATCATTTGAAAACTTCTAATCTGACTTTGTGCGCGAGCAGATTGATAAAGTCGATCTGATATCATCTGCCATGCAGACTAGTTTAGTCAGGCATCATCAAGTCAACTGACTCGGGTCGCGTCCACTCCGAAAAGTTAGCTCAGCCCTGTGACAACTGTAGCACTCTAGCGGCCGCCTCAAGTCTTCAAGCACTTAATTCTGCCATAAGAGCTTTCTTGACGCTCCCTCAACTAATAGTTTCTGAACATGTGCTCTTTGAAACAGGAGGCTCTCATAGTACACTATGTCCGCATAAGTCCGCCTCTGCTGACATCGAGAGAAGGTCCAGTCATTGCTGCAAGCCTCAAGCCCTCAATTCCCACACCGTTCTCCGCTAGTTCGTATCCCATTCCACTCTATAGACGTGACTAAGGCGACGGCATGCTGCAGAGTTTTGCGCTCCATCAAGCATCACAACCTAGCCTTGTTGTTGGGATGGAGTTATTCCGATCCACATTGACGGGGGTCTTGCGGCACATCGATCCTCCGCCTACAAGAGGCATCGGCCTAACTTGTTAGCTATCGGAGCATTAAGTCAATGGTATCAGCCAATGGCCATGCGAGTGTAGAGAGGGCACCTCCCGTGCCAGTCATGGAAAAAGTCGGGAATAAATCAGATCTTAAGCGATGCCGCAGAAATGGACGCGTTGGGAAGCAGTCCCAGCTTTAGACCCATCTAATGCCTCGGCTCCATCCGACTTAGCGTACAGTTGCCACTTGCGTGAAGTGGCTTGATTAATCTAGCTATGAGCGCCAGGCGCGCCTAGCTATAAAGTGGTGTGGCTGATCCCTTACGTAAAGGTGGGATTTAGGCTGGGGTTTAGGCTTAAAGCTTAGGCCTAGCTAACTACTATCTTATACCCCCCTTTTAGCTAACGCCTCTTATGCCTTATAAAGCTATTCCTATCCTAAAGTAGTAATTAGATTAATTATATAACTATTAGCTTTATTCCTAGCTATCTCCCTTATACCTTCCTTTTTATATTAACTTTATTATCCTATTTTACTTCTTAAAATACTTCTAACCTCTAACTTTTAGTTATATACTAATTATAATATAAAACCTTTATTAACTTTAAAGTAACCTTAATATAAACTTAAGCTATATAATCTAATAGTTTAGCTATTTTTAGATTATATAGATTTAGATTAAAAAAGCTAATAATTTAACCTTAAAGTTTTAAGTTTAAATTAAGCTTATAGTAATTAGGTCTAATTAACTTCTTAATATTAGTTAAATAATATAAGTTTTATATTTTATAGTTAAACTTAATACTTTAAAATAAGTAAAGTTTATAGATTCTTATAAGAGTTAGTTTTAAGATATATTAATATTTTATATAAACTTAATTAACTAGGATAATTATTAGAAGATACTATAAAGTTTAGTTTTCTTTTTGCTTTTATTCTAATTTATATTTTTAAGATCTAATTGAAATTAAGTAAGTTAAACTTAGGTTTATATCTTTTTTAGTAGTTAGTATTATTATATTTTTAATATAGATAAATATTAACTAAGATATCTAATTTAGTAATAAACTTATAACTTAGTGAAGTTAAAGTTTTTAATTACCTTTTAAGCTTTTATTATTAAATAACTTCTTATATAAGAGACTTTTATAGTTAGTAATTTAACTATTAAAAAGAGTAAATTAAGGCGATTAAAATAATATAAAGTCTAACTATAAAAGTTAATTAGTTAGTAAGATATAAAGGAATAAAGTTATTATATATAAAAGAAATAAATAAGTATATAGACTTAATTAAGATTAAGCTTTAAGATATTATCTTTAGATTAAGATTTATTATTAGTTATAAGTAGTTTAGATAAACTTAATATTTTAATAAAGTTATAATACTTCTCTATTATTAGTAGTTTAGTAAAGCTATTAGTAACTATTTTATAGGTTAAGATATAATTAATCTTAAAGTCTCTATTACTAATATTATTAATAATTTAGTGATATTTAATCTTAATATAGTGTAGTTTAAGCGACTATTTACCTAATAGATAATTATTAAAGGTATTTATAGAATCTATATATACTTAGAAGGGTAGTTAAATAAAGATATTTATCTTTTTAAAGAGATCTATAATATATAATAAAGCTTTCCCTCTAGGTATTAGATTTATCTATTTAGCTTTATAGGTTAATATAGCTATAAATAATTATAGTGTTAATTTCTAAGTAATTAGTGCTCTTCTATATATAACTATATAGCTAGCTATTAACTTACCTATTCTTTTATAGTTAGACTAATTAGTGTTATAGAATACTAATAATTTGAGGTTATTAATAGAATAACTTAGGCTATTAAGGTAGAGTACTAGTTATTATAAGCTATAGAGATATCTCTATATTAATCTTAGTAGTTTATTATACTTTTTAGAGGTATATTATTAATCTTTAGTAGCTCTATTTATAAGTATTATAATATCTAGTTATATACTATTTATAATCTATTATAACTTACTTAGATTGCTTTAATATTTATATATCTTAGTAGGTATTTTATATTATTTTATGATTTTTAGTAGCTAAGTATTACTAAGGGGGTAGGGAACTTAGTTATATTTAGTAATACCTTTTTCTATTAGTATATTATTAATATATTTAGCTTATAAGATCTAAAGTTATCTTATTTTATAGTAGTAAATAATCTTAAACCTAAGAAACTATTATACTTTACCTAAATCTTTAATCTAAAAGAAGTTATATAAGTTATTTTTAAAGTTATTAACTTACTTAATATTAAGTATAATAATAAGTATATTATTAATATAAAGTAATATTATAATACTATCCTTATTAATAAGAATATAGGGTTTTTTTAGGAGTAGATTAAACTTTAATTACTTAAGGATAGTAATAATTTGCTTATACTAGAGAAGAGGGGATTCTCTTAACTTATAGAGAGCTCTTTTTAATCTATAGAACTAACTAAATCTATTATTAAACCTATAAAGTTAAGTAATAAAGATATTATAATCTCCTATAAAGGTATTTAGGAAGGCTATAACTATATTAACTTAGTGAAGTTTTAGATTTTTAAGTACTATAATTAGTAAAAAGACTTATAGAGTAATAAGATTAGTAATAGTAGTATAGACTATTTTACTATCTTTATCTTAAAAGTTACTATAAATAACCTATCTTACTCTAACTTTATTAAGTCTTCTATCTATAGTAACTTTTTTATTATATACCTATTTACCTAAGAGATATTTAAGGCTATTAGGGAGTTTTTTAAGCTATTAGTATTTTATTCCTTCTAAGCTATTAACTTAAATCTTTATAGTATTAAAGATAACTAACTTTAGAGGTCCTTCTTTTATTACCTCTTATTTCTTAAAAGTTATAAATAATTAAATCTCTAAACTAAGGGCTTATAATAAGTTAGATGCTAAAAAAGTAAAAGTAATTAGTTTTTAGTCTATTTTATTATTAATTAGGTTAATCTCTATAGCCTCTATCTTATTAAATTCTCTATTAAACTTTTTTATATTATATAGTATTTAGGTTCTAAGTATTTAGGTTATTTAACTAAAAGAAGAGATAGTTATTCTTAGTGATCTTATAAGAGTAGAGCTTCTATTACTACCTTTTAGTCTTCCTCTTAGTTTTCTTTATATTAGTTAAGGTGTTTAGGGGGAAATAATAGGGGATCTTAGCTGTAATAATATAGTAAGGAAACTCTATTACTACTGAGGGGTGATAAGAGAACTTTAGCTTAGAGGAGTAGTAAGAGAATATTAGTATAGAAGAGAATTTTCTTTTAGTATTAATTATACCTATATATTTATAGTGCTAGTATTTTATACTAATATATATAGTTTTAGATCTAAGGTTAGTAAATTACTCCCCTTATTACTAACTTCTTTTTGTTCTTAAAGAGGCTTATCTTCTTATTCTTATTTATTATTACCCTCTGATTTTTAGGCTTCTTTTAGGTATAAATTACCTATTTTATCCTTTTGTTATTCTTATTTAGTAGGGCTAATATATAGCTTATAATATCTATAAGGCTGAATTTTAGTTTTATAAGTTATAATTAGTAGTTTATTCTTATACTTATAGGTCTTTAGCTTAACCTCTTCTCTTAGCTATAAGTTATTAAATTTAACTAGGGGGA